CTCACAGAGGCCGTCCAGGTTGGGCATCCAGGCGAGCGTGATCGTGACCCCCTTGCCGAGGTCGTTACTGCGAAACGTTGGGTGAAAATGTTAAAGCGAGATCACGGATACTCACAACTGGAAGGTCAAATTCTGATGAAGGGTCGTGGTGACATTGTTTCGGATAGTTAAAACACAAAGTGTACTAGTAGTTGAGATTGAGTGTGGATTGAAGAGCTCGAGTTCTGTAGTGAGAGTTCTCAGCAAGCTAACCGTGGTAAGCGAGAACAGGTATGGGCTTGAAATATGATATAGCAGTATCACTGTTGTCGAGAAGGTAAGTTTAAACTCCGTGCACCTTGATCTGAACACTTACCGTGAGGCACAGCCTTATTCATATTATCATATACGACTGCATACATCCAACTGCAGGGGTTCGCAGCTGTTAAGATGATGCACGTGAGCATAACCATGCTTCTTGAGGTGGTTCCTGGTTGATCTTTCGGTCTGAAAAGACGTAACGGCTCGCATAGCGAGCATGGGCACAGACGCCGCTGGTGTGTCAAAGCCGGCAAATTCAGACTAATAATAATGTAATAATGCTATACAAGTAGAAAGTATCGTCCTTACCGTTCGTTGGCTGGTAGGCATGCAAGATAGCGCGCAACAACCTGTATGCCTCATCCGAACACTGGCCTCGTCAGGTTGATGTGTGCAATAGAGCGCTCTGAGCGCGTGGTAAACAGACGCGTGCAGTCGGCTAAAACGTAGATAGTACGCAGGTGAGAGTGGCTCTACTTAGAGTTCGAGCCATTGTTGACACCAGTACGTAATTTAAACTTTAAAGTGTCAAATTTCTGACATCGTAGAAGTTGGTAGGCTCGGGACCAGCCTGGCTTATACTAGATAGTCCCACGAGTTCGCGCGTCCCTAGAGTTCGCGCATTGGCTCTAGCACACGCAATTCTGCACGGAATCCTTATGTATGTTGTATATAGGTTCCTCCCAACATAGTACACATGACCATGTAATTTTTTTTGGCAAGAAATGAAGTGGATCTCGTGCCATGGTCGAGTTATAGGTGTTCGAGGCTCATTTTGTGCATAGATGACTCCCTCTGAAGGTCAGATCACCACGGAAAAATCTGGGATGCGATATGATGATTATACATGATTATAGAATGCTAAAATAAATTTCTTCGGGGCTACATGCTTGTCAGAATCATCTGCTGTGAATGAAATACAGCCCAGACGTGACAATCTATCCAAAGCGTTACAATGAGACTACACACATCTAAACTCCGCTGTGCCGAAATACGCTGCAGTCGACTTTCGAACGGTGCGGAATGTGAAACGGCACCGCGGCAGACGTGTGACATGGTGTGACGAAATGCGCGAACTCTAGGGAAACCCGTACTTTTTTGCGCGGTAAGTCTCCGCTGGACTCAACACGTCGATTTTAAAAGAAAAAACTAGCAGGCCTTGTACTTTCAATGTCAGGCTATCCATCCGTCAAAAATTTATATTTTTATGTGGATGTGTTGTAGAGTTATAGATGTTTTCCCAAAAATGCGCGAACTCTAGTGGACATCTAGTATAACCACGGACAAGTCGAGTGGCGTAGCCACAAAAATTCCCCACTCTCATGTGACGTACGTCAGACTGGTCATCGTCGAGTCTAAGAAGTTGGTTGATGTTTGATGACTTCGACGTGGCTGAAACCTTAGGTACCCCCAGATTCTCAGCCATCTCTAAGCCGTCGGAATTTTTGTACAACACACAGTGTTATACCAGTCGTGTTTTCGAGAGATAAGCTTACGCAACTATGTTTTGTCCAAGCAAAATCACTGTAAACTGGGAGTCTGAGTCAGATGTATCATATTCAACCAAATAGCTATGGAAATCACGTGACAAACACCATTGACTCGGACGATTGCAGAATCTTGTATAGTACCGCTACGTATACTTAGTTCTTCTGATGCCTCCCAAATTTAGATCCAGTGTGTCAATATGTCTTACCCCTGATGTGGCAGATCATCTGTTGCAGACATTGGAAGACACCGTGCATGTTCCTACTGCTCTCCTTGGCCTGCACCAACATTTAATCGATGAAGCTCATAGTCAAGGTAACTCCATGAATGACATAGTAGAGAATGATGGTGCGTATAAACTCTTATTGGCGTAGTGTCGTATTATTTATATGCTCCATGTTCTGGCTAGCCTATCCAAGCCTGAACACAAATAGTAGAGCACCTTTGCAGGGCCAACTACGGACGCCGGAACCCACGCCAGGGCTGTCTGATGTCCTCTGCCCCCAACGCACTCTTGAGGTTTCATATGATTTGCCAACCACAGCTCTTCCAACGCTCGATTCATCATCATTGCGGGCAACTTCCAGCGAGGTTCCCTCTCTGGCTGGCCATCGCAGGGCCCGATGCCAAGTTGAGAGCATGGATTATGCCGATTCGTCACACCTTACGAAGAGAGCGCGCAAAGTTGCAACAGGCACACACACAGATGCTGGGACACCAGGGGAGCCGCCTGAGCCTGCATTCAATCCGCCTTTCGCTAATAATCCTACTAACGATTGCAATCGTGGCGCGCGTCAGTTACGACTTCGTCAGCGGCGTGCTACAGCACTTGGTCACGATCCTCTTGGACCTGTCGTGGAGGAAGCGGAGGAGGAGGATGAAAAGGAAGAGGAGGATGATGATGATGATGATGATGATGATGATGATGATGATGAGGAGGAGGAGGAGGAGGAGGAGGAGGAGGAGGAGGAGGAGGAGGAGGAGGAGGAGGAGGAGGAGGAGGAGGAGGAGGAGGAGGAGGAAGGAAGGGTGATAGCTGATGAAGGACAGGGGGATGTCACCCATTCCAGGCGAGGTTCATGGCGTCAGCGACCCTCAAATGACCCCAAGATCACATGTAGTGAGGATATTGCAACAATCATTGCAGAACTTGCATCTGCACACTGTTGCTCATCTATTCACAATCCTCTCAGCTGGTTACAAGATATCGTTAACCATGCACAAGCACCACTGATGGAAGACGAGTCGCTGATTTCTGTTATTCTCAGATGTCGAGGGATTGCGAGTAAGGACATCCGCGTTAACTTCCTTGTCATGGTGAACTACATGACTCTCGTCTTCAAGTGCCAAAGGTACGTGTTCTAAACGTTTCTGCTCCAACTTATCCAAACAGCCATTCTTGATAGCGTGCGCCTCAAGACTGGTCTTCGCTTAACAGACATCTACAAGAAAGAAATTCAACACAACACTTCAGTTGGGTCGATCTCTTATCGAAGCTTTGCGGAATGGCACTCAATCGGCTGCAAGTTCATTGCCATCGCCTGCGGTGGTTCCATTTATTCCTTGGTACTCATCGCCGGTCTGGGCCTCAGGGTTGCCGTTGCGTCCATGGTAGGGACTGTGCACTTGAATCTAGCAAATATGCTACGTTCGCCACCACAAAGTAAGTTATTCTTCTGGTTCCCCCTGTGAAATTGCAGTAATACAAGCTTGATTTACAGATTCTCCTCAAAGAAGTCTCATTATGGAATACATAGCACCCACGATCGCACGCATGCGTCTAATGCACCCCATCGCTTTGGACACAATGTTCTCTCCTGCACTTATTGCTAGATTCACAGTGTCAAAGTCAGTTGACTGTACAGACCTCTCAGCGTCTGATTGTTTCTTTGATGCCATAATCCAAAAGTGAGTTTCCGACATTGTGATAGATTGGCATGAATGACTTTGTTGTTTTCAAGTGCATTTGTTCCCCTCCGCAGAAGCAGGCATGTTTGGAGGTCATGCATCAAACCTGTTCCAAGCGATTTGGACAGAATTCAAGTACAGGCTTTGAGCCATGAGGAGTTTTACAGCTCAAGTCGTCCTTACAGTCCACTGCTGTCTGACGTAGAGGACGACGAAATTGAGCACATAGTCATCAAGACTTCTTATGATCCGCTGAAACCTGAGAATCAACGCCTCAAGGCGCCTCAAAACAAAGCAGATAATAATATCTGGAGTGCGAAAGAAAGGTCTCGGGCTGAAGCAGGTGAGCGAGTGAGAAGCATTGAAGGTTTGAAGATGAAGGTGTGCATGTAGTCGTACATTGTTCTACTTAGCTAACGATCACTCTCACTGCTTATATAGCTTGCCAAACTTTACCACAAAGGCATCAAGAGAACACAGGATGCATACTTGCGTATTCCAATGCATATCATACCAAAGTAAGTTCACATCTCTGCAGTTGTACTTTTCAAACTGATCTCCGCAGTCACCATTTGGAGTTACGTAATGCAGATGGTTCACTCATGGCCTTTGTGTCAACAGCTCTACCTGCTCATATACGTTCTACTCTCGAAGTAAATCTTTTGGCAGCGTTGGAAAGCCCAGACCTGCTAGTAGAGACGGATACTCAGTTGCATGGAAGTCAAACCTTTCAAGCAATGCACCTATCTTGGTACAATAGACATTGTACCTCTGTGAGCGAGCTTTTTAGACTCTCAATTTGTGGTATGTGCTGAAGATGAAACAGGGTCATAAGGCTCCAACAAATGTCCAACCATGGCTATTAGAAAAAGAAGGCATGCGCACTAATCACTCGCAGGTGATTCCCTACCTTTCCAAAGATTTACATCAACACCGTCGCATCTACCATACAATTTCAAAGTTATATGAAGAGTTGTTTGAGTGGGTTCGAAAATTGGTATGTCATCAAACCTTTCTTAATTGCAACATTGATATTCACATTGGTAGATGGAGACTTATCTGCAGGAGGAGTTCGAGCTGCTGATGGAAGTGGCAGCAGTCTTGCCTGGAAACTGCTCTCCCCCCGTCTCACCCTTTATATCGTTGGTCATCAACATCAATGTGCGTACGAAAGCCCATCGAGACAGCCAGGATCGTCATCTTTGCCTTGTGATTCCTATGGGTAACTTCGAAGGAGGGGCTTTGTGCCTACTGGAGAATGGACTTGTGCTTGAGTTGCGGTCTGGAGATGTGGCTCTCTTTAGATCGAGTGAGGTGACACATTTCAACTTGGATTACAGGGGAGCAAGGGCGTCTCTTGTCTTTCAGACTGACAAAGAGTTTGCAGCCTGGATTAGGGATTGCAACGGCTGGGTAGACAATGAGACTATGCACTCTTTCATATAATGTACAAGGAGTTCATTCGCGTCGCACCCGAAGTTACCATGTTGCTTGAGAGCGTAAGACGTCCTGCTGTTTAGTTGAAACCTTTACTCAACAGACATTGCAGGTCGCGAGGTCCATCTATCAACCATAGATTCGTTTTGCCTTTGTTCCTACTATCTGTCGCGCATATCTGTTTCTTTGGGTTTTTTCCTTGTTCTCTAACTGCACTCACTGTATTGTAACAACCTTTCACCGTTTTCAAGTGTTGAACAAGGTGTAACGTGAACTTTGATTATAGCAAACCTCCTGCACAACCTTGTCGACACACCTCTGGCTTGTTGATGTTTATATAGCCCTTTAAAATTCCCTTACGTTTACAATACTATGTACACCTATGGGCATTCTATGGTAATTAAGCCATGACATGCGAGCGTTGAATCCCCACTTTCCATCGTTTGACTTGCCAGCACCTGTGGAGCTCAAGTGGCGCGCGCACGTGGAAGTCACAGGATATTGGAAATCGTTCCGCCCTTACAATATGTAGAATAGAATATGTCATACATTACGATCATTCTGTGACTTTTGAAACCCTTCTCCAAACAATCCATTTTCGCTGGTACTAATATTAGATTTACAAACTCGCTGTATAGCAGTGTTAACTGATACATGTTATCATCATGCGCATTCACTCTATGTAGAATATAGATGAGTTGCTGGCCCATGGCACAACTGCATCAATTGAAACTATGATATTAGCTAGGCTCACTGGCAGCAGGCGGTGGCTTATGCAAACGACCTTCTAGAAATTTCCAAATCTAGTCATCAGCTCTCATGTGGTTCGAGTCATCCAAATATTTTATGTAATCGTCGAACGCTCGTGTTTGACTTGCATACCCTTGGACATTCAAGCTTCCTCACAATCTCAGCATTCTTGGACATCTATCTCGTAATTTCGAGCTAGTCATCCCGTCGAACGCTAGCGTCTGACTTCCGAAATCCTTGTGGACATATAGGTAGTCATGCGATTGAGCTTCGAGGGTCGACTCTTGCGATCCACTCATCGGAGGCGTGCCTTGCTATCAGAATGTCAGTGTTTGATTCCCATTTTTATGTGCATCTAGCTGATAATCTAGCTAGTCACGCTATCGGACTTTTAAGGTCAAAGCTTGTAATGCCTCCATCGAACGCTGGCGTTTGATTGGCACATCCATCCGGCTATCTTATCGAACGCTTGCGTTTGATGTTTTCGACTCCCCATCCTTGTGGACCTCTAGCTAGTAATCTAGCTGGTCATCCTGTAGAACTTCTAGGGTCGACTCTCGCAATATCTACATCGAACGCTTGCGGTTGATGTTTTCGACACATCCATGTGGGCCTCCAGCTAGTAATCTAGCTGGCCATCCTATTGAACTTCCAGAGGCGACCCTTACAATCTCTCCATCGAACGCTTGCGTTTGATGTTTTCGACAGTTATATTCTAATGCCAGTGTTAGACTCCACATCCTTGTGGACCTCTAGCTAGTAATCTAGCTAGTCATCCTGTAGGACCTCCAGGGTCGACTTTTTCAATGCTTCCATCGAACGCTTGCGTTTGATGTTTTCAACAGTTTCTTCTAATGCTAGTGTTAGACTCCCCATCCTTGTGGAGCTCTAGCTAGTAATCTAGCTAGTCATCCTATAGGACTTCTAGGGTCGACTCCTGCAATCTCTTCATCGAACGCTTGCGTTTGATGTTTTCGACAGTTGTATTATAATGCTAGTGTTAGACTCCACATCCTTATGGACCTCTAGCTAGTGATCTAGCTAGTCATCCTGTAGGACCTCTAGGGTCGACTTTTTCAATGCTTCCATCGAACGCTTGCGTTTGATGTTTTCGACAGTTATATTCTAATGTCAGTGTCAGACTCCCCATCCTTATGGACCTCTAGCTAGTAATCTAGCTAGTCATCCTGTAGGACCTCCAGGGTCGACTTTTTCAATGCTTCCATCGAACGCTTGCGTGTGATGTTTTCGACAATTCTATCCGAATGGTGGTGCCCGACTCCTCATGCTTGCGGACCTCCAGCTAGTGATCCAGCTAGTCATCTTGCAATATCTTCATCGAACGCTTGCGTTTGATGTTTTCGACAGGTTTATCCCGATGATAGGGTTCGACTCCCCACCCACGTGGACCTCTAGCTAATCATCCTATTGAACTTCCAGTGTCGGCCCTTGCAATCTCTTCATCGAACGCTTGCGTTTGATTTTTTCGACAATTCTATCCGAATGGTGGTGCCCGACTCCTCACGCTTGCGGACCTCCAGCTAGTCGAACGCTTGCGTTTGATGTTTTCAACAGTTTCTTCTAATGCTAGTGTTAGACTCCCCATCCTTGTGGAGCTCTAGCTAGTAATCTAGCTAGTCATCCTATAGGACTTCTAAGGTCGACTCCTGCAATCTCTTCATCGAACGCTTGCGTTTGATGTTTTCGACAGTTGTATTATAATGCTAGTGTTAGACTCCACATCCTTATGGACCTCTAGCTAGTGATCTAGCTAGTCATCCTGTAGGACCTCTAGGGTCGACTTTTTCAATGCTTCCATCGAACGCTTGCGTTTGATGTTTTCGACAGTTATATTCTAATGCTAGTGTCAGACTCCCCATCCTTATGGACCTCTAGCTAGTAATCTAGCTAGTCATCCTGTAGGATCTCCAGGGTCGACTTTTTCAATGCTTCCATCGAACGCTTGCGTGTGATGTTTTCGACAATTCTATCCGAATGGTAGTACCCGACTCCTCATGCTTGCGGACCTCCAGCTAGTGATCCAGCTAGTCATCTTGCAATATCTTCATCGAACGCTTGCGTTTGATGTTTTCGACAGGTTTATCCCGATGATAGGGTTCGACTCCCCACCAACGTGGACCTCTAGCTAATCATCCTATTGAACTTCCAGTGTCGGCCCTTGCAATCTCTTCATCGAACGCTTGCGTTTGATGTTTTCGGAAGTTCCGCCCGAATGCTAGTGTTCGACTCTCCATCCTTGTGGGACCTCTAGCTAATAATCTATCTAGTCATCCTATAGGACTTACAGGGTCGACTCTTGCAATCTCTCCATCGAACGCTTGCGTTTGATGTTTTCGACAGTTCTATCCGACGCTAGTGTTCGACTCCTCATCCTATAGGACTTATAGGGTTGACTCTTGCATTCTCTTCATCGAACGCAAGCGTTCGATGTTCTCGGAAGTTCTATCCGAACGTTAGTGTTTGACTGACATTCTTATGGACATTTAGCTAGTCATCCTGTAGGAGAATTCTAGGGTCTACTCTTGCGATGTTTCCATCGAACGCTTGCGTTTGACTTGCATCCTTGTGCACATCTAGGGTCGACTTTTGCAATCCGTAAGGAATTGTATCACCTTGGCAATGGAACCGTACCTTTATCCTTTGATGGTGCCATTCTCTTTCTCACGTCTTCCATAGGTCACGCTACATATAAAAGTACATGCTTGCGTTTCACTAACTTCCACGATGCTGCCGTCAAAACTACAGCTTTACGACTCTCCCGTTCGTGATTCAAATTAGACCTCATCCCTTGTCCAACGCTCATTCACTACCATATTTCTTGACAACGACCCCATGTCGTCCTCGTAACAAACACATCTCACTGAACCGTTTATGATTAATAGGGCCCGCGACCTTTTCTATGTCAAGGCAGGCATTTCCGCCTTCTCCAGCATTAACTACAGCGTCGGTGTCCGATGACACAAGAAATTCTGTTTACTCTCATCGTATTCTGCGTCATATTCACCTGTCAAAACCTAGGTTTCGCAATTCATACTCTCCTCCTCCAAGGCAGCAGCTCCATCTACTAATAGTTCACCTGCAATGTCCATTGTCCTGCCCCTAAATTAGGGTTAGGGTTATCGTCGATGTTGCTGTACTGGCAATGATCTTACTCTAACAAATCTCTCAGCTTCATGGTCCAGACGTCTCACTTGTGACAAATAAACCAACCAACCAACCAACCATATTTTTAGATACCTGGAGTGGGAGTTGAAATTGAGCTTGTGAACAAGATTTTTTCCATGCGGTACCTACATTTTTGAAAAATACATAGACACGCAAATTAGAATCAGTGCGAAAAATACGTATAGTGTCACCCTCAACCCTAACCTGGATTTTGTAATATCATCTCTCACTGCACGAGTCGAATACAATTTAACACTAATGAGTATAGGTTATGAAGGATTCCCCACTCGTCCATCCCTATGACCTCGCACCCCCCTCACCCACCTTGTCAAATATCACTGACATCGAGTCCCTCGACACGCAAATTGGAATCAGTGCGACAAATACGTGTAGTGTCACCCTTAACCCTAACCTGGATTTGCTAGATTTATCAGTCTTGTCTGATTGTGTAAGTGTCGTATGAATGTCTGATTCTCATCTCACTAGCTGCGACTATCATCTGCACAGAAACACTACAGTAGTAGTATTTTACATCTTCTCACCGAATAGCCATTATTTTACGGTTACCCTCGAGCGAGTAACCAGATGGACGACGTCATAATGGATGTCGATCAATACTCGACGGATTGCTCCATGGAGGTTAATCTGCCCGAATGGAATGTGAGTACTTGAATTGATCATGTTGCGACTTGCTGTAGCATCAATTCAGGCGGCACTCGACGACCTCACGCCTCACATCACAAAGACCGCCGAATACCCCGTTGCACGCGGCGGTTTTGGGGAGGTCTGGAAGTGTATTTTCCGAA